TGGGTTTTGGGGGGGGGGGGGGGAGGGGAGAGAATACATTTTTATTTGTTTTTACTTGTCATATTTAAATTTTGACATATTTATTAAAAACTAATGTTTGTCACAACTATTTAACCATACTACATTTATTAATTGATGTATATATTTTAAGAAATAATTAATTATTACTAAGAATAAAATGTATTATTTAAAAAAAAAAAAAATAGTCGAAGATAATAATAAGATATTTTCTTGTTTAGGACCACTCCGTTTTGTGGAACAAGTCTACTATGGGAGTATGCCCTCGTTCGTACTAAACCCACACGCATGGACCAAGGTAAGTTTTTTTTTTCCAATATTGTTTTGACCAAAAAAAATTGTTATAATAATATAATATACTACATAATAAAAGAAAAGTTAAACATATATATCATTTGATTATCGATTTTCAGATAGCAAGTGTAATATTCTTAGATCAACCAATAAACACTGGATTCTCATATGTAACAAATGAAGTTGCATATAAGCAAACTGATGTACAAGCATTTGATTATGTCTATGAATTCCTAAGAAAGGTGGGTACGTAATTTATGAAATTTTTCATTATAAACTAAATTGAAATCATGTTTACTCAACTATGAATTTATTATTTCAGTGGCTCAGTGATCATCCAGAATACATCTCAAATCCATTTTACATGTCTGGAAACTCATATGCTGGCAAGATGATACCAGTTGTAGCCCAATTGATATCAAATGGTAAGGTTCATGTATACTATCGATAAAGAAATTGCATACGTGTTCCAAATTAATCAATTTGATGTACCGCGTACTAGCTAGATACATAATAGATCGATATCCCGATGGAGACACTTATCAGAATGAAGGATGGACAATTGAATATTCTTAATTTGTTGAAAAATTATATAGAAGATTTTACTCATGTATATATAGATCAAAAACTACGTTTCTTACATATAATAAATCTTAAAGAAATTATTCTTTGATTTTTGCAAATGCAGGAAATACAGCAGGCAAAGAGCCATTTGTTAATCTTCAGGTTAATAGTTCTCTAATTAGAATTTGTTATCTAATAATTAATTACCATCATCAAGTAATATTTTATTTTTTTTAATTTAAGGGGTATTTAATTGGCAGTCCTGGAACACTTCGTCCTCAAGAAGACAATTATCAAATACTTTTTAGTTATGGCATGGGACTTATATCTGATGAACTTTATAAGGTTAAGTCATAATTAATTTGTTTTAATTACTTTCTACATTATATATAATTAGGTTTAAAATTTGAGATGTTAATTTAACTTGAATATTGATTTGTGTTAACAGTCATTAGAGAAGAATTGTGGAGGAGAATATACAAATATAGATCCCAACAATAAAGGATGTGCAAATGACTTTCGAATTTTCAAGCAGGTTATAATTATTGTTTTACAGTATTATCGATTGATCGATGTAATAGTAGGTTATTTGTTATTTTTATGTCAGTAAATTAACATATAGTTATGCAGTTAGTTAAAAACATTAATGGGGAACACATATTAGAGCCCTTTTGCACATATGATTATCTTCAAGGTCCATATCAAATGTCTGGTGAGAGAAGATTACTTGATGAAAAACTCATCTCCTTGCAACGTCAAGACAAGTGTGCTGTAAGTTCTTTATATATATATATATATATTTCTATGTATTTCTGATTTTCGTCGTTGAGAGACTTTAATATCTATAGACTATAGTATGTCAGAAACGACATTTGAGGTGGTTAGACTTATATCTTGATATTCTCCTAGCATATATATAGATGGTCTAGCTACAATGTCCGATGATAAAGAATTACTACTAAAATAAAAGAAAGAAAAGAATAAAAATTAGGAATATCAAATAATATCGCAAATGGTTATTCAACTCTAGGCAGTTCGTTTAGAAAGTCACATAACTTTGTTTTATACAATTAAGTGACTTTAGATTATAAAACAAAATTGAGTCTCCCAGCATATATATACATGTTCAACCTAAAATGTCCGGTGATGAAGAAATACTACTAAAACAAAAGAAAGAAAGAAATAAAAGTATATATTTGATAATATCACAGATGGTTATTCAACTCTAGGTAAATCATTTAGAAAGTCGCTTAACTTTGTTTTATACAATTAAGTGACTTTAGATTATAAAACAAAATTGAGTCTCCCAGCATATATATACATGTTCAACCTAAAATGTCCGGTGATGAAGAAATACTACTAAAACAAAAGAAAGAAAGAAATAAAAGTATATATTTGATAATATCACAGATGGTTATTCAACTCTAGGTAAATCATTTAGAAAGTCGCTTAACTTTGTTTTATACAATTAAGTGACTTTAGATTATAAAACAAAATTGAGTCTCCCAGCATATATATACATGTTCAACCTAAAATGTCCGGTGATGAAGAAATACTACTAAAACAAAAGAAAGAAAGAAATAAAAGTATATATTTGATAATATCACAGATGGTTATTCAACTCTAGGTAAATCATTTAGAAAGTCGCTTAACTTTGTTTTATACAATTAAGTGACTTTAGATTATAAAACAAAATTGAGTGATTTTCTAAGAAAAATATCCTCATCCATCTGCGAAATTATCTCCCAAAAAAATTGAAAAAAGAAGAAGACAGATAAAAATGAAGAAAATAATCCATAGTGGACGAGGCTTTATCCTTATACAAAACATGTTTTATCATTTTGACATTCATAATTTTTTTTTACCACATTACTGTTTGTGTATATAACTTAAATGAATAAATAAAATACTAGTAATTGTAGAAACTTATTCTCAATTACTTCAGTCTGATTGGCGCAAGCATATGAAGTATTGGGCTAATGACCCGAAAGTCCAAGAAGCTCTTCATGTTCGAAAGGTACGTGGATTACAATAAGAGTGTACAGTATATATATCACATAATTTTACTATATCACTTAGTTACTCGTAATTTTACTCTTCACAGAGAATCATAGGAAGCTGGGTACAATGTAACAAAATTTCAAGTGTAGGCTCTCCTCCCAACTACACTCTCACGATCGATAATGTTGTACCATATCATGCAAATCTAAGCACTAAAGGTTATCGATCACTTATATACAGGTAATTAGTACTCAATATTGTTCCGTTTGTGTCTATGTAAATTTTATATATTTGGCATGAGATTAAAGTTATTGCATGATATCTGAATAACACAAAGTAAATGGAAGTTTCATCATGAAAATCAAATATTGTTTATTGTTTGAAACTTTTAAAGTTAGAGTTGTATTTGATCATACTTTTTGCAAATAATGTTTATAATTTGAATGTATTTTTTCTAATATAATAAAAGTGGTAACACAGTAGATTTGAAATACAAATTCAAGTTGTATTTGAAATTTTCATGAACAAATACTAATTTCTTAAAAAGTAAAGAGAATTTCTGAAAAAAATAAATAAATTTTCATGATTAAGCGGGTCCTAAATCTCACCTAGTGCCACAAAACTAAAAAAGATTAATACTTCAAAAGATATGTGAGCCCCTGCGGAGATATACAGAAGAACTTTTTTCATGTCATTATAATTTTATTGTTCGATGTATTTACAATAATTTCATGAATATAAAATGGAGGTTTTTTTCTTTTCATGTTTAAACAGTGGCGATCATGATTATTCAGTACCTTTTCAATCCACACAGAAATGGATAAAGTCTCTAAACTACTCCATTGTTGATGATTGGCGTCCATGGAACGTAAATAATCAAGTTGCTGGGTAATTAATCTCCAAATTTAACATCCTTAATTACAATTATGAATTCTTAAAACTAATTATTATTATGTGAGTTGATAATGCTTAATCATTTTTTCTAATATCGTATCCTTGTAGTTATACGAGATCTTACTCCAACAAAATGACTTTTGCAACAGTGAAGGTATGAAATTAATTGTAGAATAATTTTCATGAAAATTGGAAATTATTAATTTATCTCAATTTAGTCAGATTGATTTTTATTTAACGAGACTTATTTTAACTTTATACTTGTATTTAACTTTGTGTTTTTTTTTTTCAAAAAAAAAAGGGATCAGGACACACAGCTTGTAGATACAAACCTGAAGAATGTTTTGGTATGTTCAAAAGATGGATAAATCATGATCCTTTATAAATAGTGCTCAATTTCATCTATATATCTTCTCTCTATTTTTATTTTAATGAAATAATCTTTTCTTTCAACTCTTGGAGATCAATTTTATTGCCCACATATCATTGAAAAGAATAATCTTGTATTAAATTGTGAATGAATCAGATATTATGTATTTATTCTTGAATTCGTATTTATATTATTAGCTTCAGTTATGCAGTATATCTTTGAGGGTTCATAAATGCATTTGAAGGATCTAAAAATGTTAATAAAAAAAGCTCTAAATTTGAAAAGAAGATGTATAACTCCTAAACACTGCAGGAAAGTATCTGATAAATGCAAGTTACATTCGATACACGATTTTAAGCTTATGAGTTCTGAATATCAAAATAGGATAACAATTGATTGAATAGATTAGACATACATTGGATTTTGTCTGTCGTAGATCCACCCCTGCTAATTATCTAGGTCTTTTCAACTAGAAGTGCATGCAAGTCTTGAATGAAGTTATCGATGTAGTTACTCATGAAGCCAGGACTTGAAAGAAGTTCCTTCTATTTCATATGATTCTTTTTCACAAGACAACCGATTTGGCTATCTTTATCCATCACACATTTCACAGCCTTGAACAAATTCTCCTTAGTAAACAAATCATTTTCGTCTTTCTCCACTTCTACACCAACCTTAAGTTGTTTTTCCATCAGCCTAGCATTAAAAATGTGATCAATAGGCCTTGGCAAAAGTACCAATTGACAATCACACAGTGCCAAAGACTCCCACATCGACCCATAACCACAGTGAGTTACGAAACAACCAACTGATTTGTGTCTTAAAATCTCCAATTGTGGCACCCAACAATCAAGAATCAATCCCTTTTCTTGAACCCTTTCTTTGAATCCCTCTGGTAAGGCTTCTTCTACTGAATTTGTCCCTTGAGGTGGCTTAACAACTAAAAGAAATGGTAACTCAGTCAGTTCAAAGCCTAAAACAAGTTCTTGAAACTGCTTCTTTTCAAGAATCAATTGACTCCCAAATGCACAGAACACTACTGATCTTGGCTCGAATTTCTCAAGCCAATTCGATATTCCGTGTTCTTCTAAAGGCTCCTTTTTCGGCTCAGAAATAACAGGTCCGGTGTAAAGGACTGGCTTTTCAAATTGTGTTGAGATGTAGTCACAAAAATTTCCTTCAATCTCTCTACATGTTTTCATAGCTATTGCGTCACATCGTGTCATTCCCTTCTTTACTCGTTCATAAAATGTCACCCCCTTGCCATATTCATGAAATACAAATGACAACAACTTAGCTTCACATTCGCGCAACACCACAGTTGTAGAAGGGTAACCTGGATATCCAACAATTAACCACATCTTTAGATAGCAAAATAGAATAGCAGTTATTCTAGCAAATCATGGCACTATATGATACATAATAGTATTACTAAAGTTACAGTTTTGGCGATTCTTCCTTTGGTTGTTCCAAACAAGCTATACAAGCAGTTGCGGAGTCAGGAAATTCATATTTGGGACCTAAAACAACTTTTGAAATCTCATTAAGCCGTAACCACTACAGTTAGAAAAAAAATCTTAATGTCAAACAGGAAATTCTTCCTTGTATATTTACACTGTGATTTTTCAATGGTACTAGCTCCGCCCTTGATGAGAAGAAGACAAATGAGAATTACATATATTAGGAAAACCTCAGCTTGTAAATTGTAATGACTCAAAATTATCAAGTGCAAATACCAGTGTAATGTCTTTTGCTTACCAATTACTATATAGCCCATGTCGAATGTAGGTTTGAACATAATATACTCGTTCAATAGTTTTAGTCTAAACTTTTTATTTGTGATAAAAAAAAAATTCACTACTAAACATGTACAAAATTAAATTAAGAACATCGCATATATTCATTTATATGGAGAAGGGTCTAATACAAATATACCCTTCGTTTACTTTTTGGCCACAAAATGCCCTTGGATTAACCTTTGTGGCCCTATTATATAAGAAATATGGATATATTCAATTTATCTCTAATATCTTGTTTATGAACTATAGTTTGCATATATTCAAACAAAACTTCAGCTACAAATCAATCTGATTTCAAACCATGTCCAAACGGAACCTAAATTCGCCTTTGAATATAACTACACCAAAAAAGCACAAAAAAAAAAAAAAGAAAGAGGAGGAGAAGGGTGACCTGGTGGTGGCTTTACTAATTCAGCTGCAGTTGATGCCATAAAAATAGCCTTATCCGGTGATCGAATTAATGTTGCTGATGATACAGCAGGGCAAACAACTCTGTAAAACAGAGTTTTGATGCCCCCAATTTCTAGTGCTAAATCAGGAATCCAATAAGCAAAATCAAAGAAAACAAAATGGGGTTTTAGATTTTGAAGAAAAAATTTGATTTCATCATACAATTCATCAAAAGCTGTTGCTAATAGACTCTCCAAAGATCTATGAATATCAGATGTAGTCTCTGCTGCATATGGAAGGCCATCAACATGAGGGATTGTCAGTTTATGGAATTTGGATAAAGATTGAATTTTTGAAGTCTAATTTCTGCATTTTTGGGCAACAAGAAGGTAATTTTGTGACCTCTTTTTGCAAGTTCATATGAGAGGTTCATAAATGGGATTAAGTGCCCAAAAGCAAGCCATGGGAACATTACTATTTCCATCTTTTTCTTTTCTCTTTCGCCTTTGATGAAATGCTACTTTATTTGATCATATTTGTTTTTTTATTAGAGTTGGGGGTTAGTGGGTCGGTGGATAGGGATATGGGTATCGTTTAAAATTATTTTTAAAAAATTAAATGGATCGGTTAGTTGGTTCTCTATCTTCATCCCGAGAGGCTTTAATATCTATAGCATGTCAGAAACTGGAGGTGGTTTGTAACAAATGGTTGTAGTGATTTTCTCAACTTAATAACCAAACAATAGAGAGAACAAACTAACAAGCTTTGATTTATACGAAAACGAGCACTTACAATATGAAGAACTCGAACAATAACAGTAACTATAAAGGAAGGGATGAGGGAACTAAGAGAGAATTGGGGATGAGAAGCACAGTTTTTGCCTAAGCATAATCATAATTTGCATAAACCTATTTTGCTCTCACTAGTCTTTATTTATCAACTCGAATCCCACACATAGCCACTTAATTCGGTGTTGGGCCGCTTTGCCAATACTTGTCTAGGCCCATTCATAACAATACTCCCAACTCCAATAAGAACCTTGTCCTCAAGGTTCGAGTAGGCATGAGCATCCCCTCGTATAATCAGATTGGTAAGAAACTTTATTGGCATGGCAAAAATGTATACTCATGTGAGATTTTTCCAAAAGAGCAATGCACCTTATGATATCATCCAAACTAGTCGAAGTACTATTGGCAGCCACATAAGGGAACTTTGTCATATTTTGTAGCAGCAACTCACACAGATGCCAAATAGAAGCTGCAATGTCCTTGATCTCATTCCATTCTTCCCTACCATCAGCCCCTTTTTTATCAAATGAAATATTTCCATGATTGACCAAAATGTAGGTAGTACTGCCAGATAATGGGATGCTGAGAATTTCACCAAGGCTACTGATAGGATCAAAAAGAGGTCCAAAAGCACTCGAAATATCATAAAAGTAGTACTTCGTACCATGCTCAGACTTGTCAATGCTACAATTGTTCACCTCGAAGTACTGAGCAATAGTTGTCAAAGCTCTCCTTCCGCCAAATCTCTCCACTAGAACTGATAACAACCATGATCTTTCTGATTCACAATAAAACTCTTCCGCATTATCAAATTGAGTTCAGTTATTACTTGCCTTGCAACCACACATTTAATTTGTCAAAAGGATAACAAAAACTAATGCATTATTACCTAAGCCATGATGTAATTTATGACGCGCAGCCGACTCTACTATCTCTATGACCCCATAAAGTGTGTAACGAGAGCAGTGATACAGCGAAGATGCAACATTGATGTTTGCTGGAAGTTGGCGACAAAAATGTCATGTTTTACCACATAATATTCAGCGAAGACCGTACCAGTGAATATGCAATTAAAGGACATGTTAATGCATTGCATTTTTATCACCATTTTAACCCCTGCTGGACACTTAGCTTGATCTGCTCTCTGATAAATGTAATTCTGCTTGTAGTGAATATCGTCATATGTACGTTTTAGGATGATCTCCTCAAGACAGACTCCTATTTCTAGAAAATGTAACACAAGCTCAAAATCACTTGTACATCCTGTGAAACCAATTAACTTTACCACCTTTAGATGTTTGTGAACAAAACGATTATGTTCAAATTGACTAGGAGAAGCCAAAATCTGCGAAAATAAAACAAAAAAACTTAGTGACAAGTTACTTTACCTCTTTATACAAGATGTCAGTGTATGTTATCTGCCTCGAATCGAATGAAAAAAAAAAAACAGGGTCAGGACATAACATGATACTCTAGAATACAGTTCTTTTATCCCAATCATAGATCTCAAGACAGCCAGTCGTAAGTATCTCCACCTACGAGAGACAAGACAGGTTTTTGCTGCCTCCTTTACGGATAAATACGAAAGAATGACCACAAGCAACTCGTCGTTCAATTCATCAATCTTGGGATCCTACACATAAAAAGATAACAATACAAGTGGGATGCCAAAAGAAAAAAAGAAAAAAAACCAGAATTACCTGTCCAGGTCGAACACGAACTTGTCCATCAGCCATCTTTTTCTGTTGTTATATCCAATGGAGACCAAAGCCTACACAAGACAAGCACAAAGTGCTGAAATTTAAAGGACATCAATTATACATATGTTAGTTATTTCACCTTTTGTCGTACCTACAATAATACATAATTTCCCGTTATGCGAGTTTCTAAATTATCATTCAAACATGGTATACATGAATAACTAAGTTGCTATTGTCATATAAAAATGAGAAAAGACATAAAATTACCACTGAAATTGTCCCGAATTTTCAAAAGATACCTTAACTTTGCAATCATCCTATTTCCCCATTAAACACTATTGAACTGATATTATTATATCATTTTTCGAAAAACCCCATATTTTAAGAAGCAAATGTGTTCACACACTAATCATTACATGACACGTGTTAATTTAATTAAAAATATAAATTTTTTTCATCCTAAGTTTTTCTTTATCTTTTATTTTCTTTATTTCTCTCTCT